GGTGACGAATACATTGGCGAAACGGGCAGACCCCTCTCTGTCCGCATAAAAGAACACCTAGCCGGCAAACATAGACCAAATACTCCGCTAGGCACGCATAGGACCCAGAGACATAACGGGGAGGACTTTGAAGTATGTGTCACGATCCTTGCACGCGAATCAAGAACACAGGCGCGAAAAACTCTCGAGGCACTCTGGATTAATTCCAGAAATCCGAAAATGAACCGCAGGGAAGAATGCCTCATTATCACGCGTGATGTAGGGCAGTATATAAGACTGCTATTCTGATGAGTGGGGCACATTATACTTCCATGTGATTTCTGTGCGGTTGGTCTCTACGTGACATACTTAGTGGAAACCTCATAGGAAGCGGTGAGTGTGCAAAGCTGTGTTCAAAGTGATTGAAATCTTGGTTTGGAGTTTCTTTGTTTGGTTATGGAGGCGTCTGGCCAAGTAGATTGCTGTCAACTTGACCTTTCCAGGCTCTGAGGAAGGCGAAATCCGCCGAAACGTCAGCTCATTCGTGAATAAAGAATAATAACACCTCGCGTTTGCTCAACAAAAATACGAAGAATTACAAACCTATTTACTAATCAGAGGGTGAACTTGCCGCTATACGTTGTAGCTCAACATTTAGGGGTACCCTCCTACCACGATGAGGTGAACCGTTGAGAAAGGTAGAAGTGGACGCTGTTAAAAATAAAAGGATAGTGTAAATGTACTACATTCTGCTATAATATGGAATACTTGCACTGACTTTATCGTCATTTGACCAATTACATATGAACCCTATTTCTATGCGATGTTTTGAAGAAATGGGCAATTCCTTTTGACACTCACCGGGTTTTCCTTGGGAACCTGGTGGTGCACCATTCAGCACTTTTCCGGCATCTCCTGGTGGACCTTGTGTACCTATCTCGCCAGGAGCCCCACGAACTCCCGCTGGGCCAGGTGGTCCCACTCGGCCAGGAGTTCCTCCTGTTCCATTCTTACCAGGGCTTCTGAATGAGTGAACACATCGTGATGATCAAGCGGACAAAAACATTTTCCGTCTTAACAATTCTTCTTCTGAGCTCAAACCTCTTCATTTTCAACAATTTATCATATGAAAAGTACGGTAACCCTTCTGTGAATAGTTCCTACTTTCTACATTACCGCATGTTTCCCATACTAATTTTATCCGCTGGCAACCACCTTTGTTCTTACACTCTCTGCAAATTGCTTCATAGCCACCGTCTCGTGCACCAGCTTCGTAGTTGGCTAGAAACGGATTCTGCAACTTATTTGTAAGAACTAATGTCTACTAATGAAGAATTAATTCTTATCTAATGTTCTTTTTTGTCCGGCATTTCGAACACGCACTGAATGAAGAGCTGTCGGCTGCACTTACTTTTATACACCTTCTGTCCCAACGAACTTTCTTTATAACCCTTTGTATGGCTTTCACATAAACTTTTATGTTAGCGCAGTTTATTGTACAGCTTCTCATCTAATGTACTTTTCCGAATGTGCCATATCCTTTAAAGCAGCTCTATCAGATTGTGTTAACTTAGAATCTTTCTAGAATCTCTCCCCGAGCAACACCTTTAGTTCCTGCTGTCAAAACTTTGCCCATTGCCGAAGGAATGGAGGGAACACATAAGATGAGTCATCCCAGCTAGTTTGCTAAGTGAGCTCCCTCAACTAGTGCTCGTGTAGTCTCCATGTTAGTCTTCGCCTTTGTTTTCCTTACCCTTCTGCAAATCATCATTTCGTTAACATTGTGTTGCTATTGTTGCTATAAGCGGTTATAATACGAGCTTGATTCTGTGTTCTGTGCCAATGTCAAAAAGTCCTGAGTAGCAAATTCTTACAAAGTTAAGCATGTTACTTCGCGCTAGTGATTAATTGAGTACTGACTTGAAGGCCTATATTCCACTGACCAACTACTACAAAAAGTATCATCAGGATTCTTCGTGGATCCGTTTTTCGAAAGTGTTGCTTTCCATCGAACCTTATCACTAGCTACTCTCTGCATATGACATATAAGCACAGCTTTGTCTTAGATATTTAAAATCGAAGAGGAAAAACCTTAGAAATTATTCAAGTGATCTTCTCAAGCATAGAATGTAATTCATGGAGACACAGTTATGGGCGGACAGTTTGAATTTGTAATTCAGCAATTATTTAAAGTTGTTATCGCGAAAACAGTTAGATGTGGTACCCCTTAATCCAGGCATATCTTAACGCTCCTATAAATATGAAGAAAATATTCTTAGCGCTTACATGTGTAGCCAGGAGGAATTTTACCTAAGAGACCTCTGTTGTAGCTGTGCTCTCACATCACCGTAGCTACTACGATTCTTTTTACATGATCAACCATAATCAATTTTTGCTTTCCTTATTATATCCCCATCCCCCGTTTTCCATTCCACCCCGCTCCCCGTAGCCTGTCACTTCCTTCTTATATAGTTTGCGGTGAAAAATTTTACAAAGTCAAATCCAACATGAAACAACTTTTGCGTCAACTAGGAATAGAAAAAATTTGCAAGCGCTTCTTCAACCGCATCATTAACTTCTACTTATAACCGGGTTCTTGTCAAAATCTAGCACTTACCCAGCTGGTCCTCGTGGTCCCTTTTTCCCGGGGTGACCTGGCGGACCCGGTGGCGCCGTCGGGCACCTCTGGCATGGAGCTTCAGCCTTCGTCTGGACTGCCACATAATGTCCGTTGTAACCGTTTCGGCCGTTCACTCCGATCATACCATCTCGTCCTTAATAGGAGAAAGCAGTATATCCATTAACTCTCCCAAAACGATGATGGTTTTTCGATCACTGATGATAACTTATCAATCATGATTACAGGCTTACTTGCTATAAAATGTCACTTTAACTTCGAATATGTTAAGAACCTATTTTTTTCAGAAAATTGGAAAGTATTTTGACGTTTTGGAATTCCAAGAGCGATGGCTGTAGCTGCAAATACAAACGATGCACTTGAAGGCATCATTTCGTCCTAGTGCACGAAACCCAGCTTATTCAATAGTTCACGTGATCGAAATATGGGTCTCCAAAAAAGTAAATGAAATAAATAGGTTTTGTGAGTTCTAGATGATAGCAGTTTTACCTTGGCATAATAATATAGCATGTGTGTATAGGAAAACAATTGTAGATTTCAGAATGTTCTGTTGTAGTTACTTAAAAGTCACTACAAGCTGAGGTACGTTGATTAACAGTTAAAAGCGGTCACGACTGATTCCTGTGATTCCTATAGAGGTCACCTCGAAGCGTAAGGATTAAAGAAAGCTGGCCATCTTTGTTTATTTATTTGTAAATTCGTTGACACAACAGACGACTTTCGAAATAAGTATGCTAAGAAGCTGAATCAGGACGTATTAGAACATCAAAGAACAACAGAAGGATTTCGATCTTAATGTCTTTCTGAAATCCTTCCATTGGATGAAAAAAACTAAAAAAACTGGGAAAAATAATTGTAAGTTCCACAAAAAAAGTTCAGTACCACAAAGTTGTGTTTAAAAACAGAAATGTTTTTTAAAAGCACCATGAGTGGCGGCACATTTTTGACATTGTTGTACAAGTGTCTAAGGTTCGTTTCCCAAAACCGAGAAGTTTTAGAAACGATGAAGTTGTAGGAGATAGTTAAGACCTTCATTTTTGCTTTCCAATGGCACGATGTTCGCAAACACAACGTGCCAAGTATTTCCTCGCATGCTAGCAGATTCACCTTTGAGGAGTAAAATATCACTTTTTCAAGAAAGAACAGTTTGGTGTGATGAATTCATAAATGGAACATTTTGCGCGTTTTCAATACAGACAATCGACGGTTGTCGGAAGGATTTGCTTGCGTTTCAATTACTTCCAGAATAGCAGTGATTTCTGTGGTTAGTCGAAAAAAGAAAAAATCGACATATTATGTCGAATTTCTATGAATGTAATGATATTAAGTAAAAATTGCACTTGTAAGTGACCTGGCGGTTGATCTTTGCCCCTTGGTCCAGGTGGTCCTGGAGGTCCTTGCTGACAGCTGCAGCCTGTAATTTCCATAAGAATTCCTCTCTAGAATGAGCAAAACTCCATAGAGTCGCGAATGAAGCAAATCTAGACGGGACTTATGCTAAAAAGTGCTTACATTGTCCTGTCAACAACGAAAGCGGTTCTACGCCAGGTGCTGCCCCTCCGTAGTATTGTCGACGCGTGCGAGTGGATAATCTCGACTCCATCAACTGTCTCCAAATGTCATTCGAATCTTGCTAAAAAATTGCTACAAGTGACAAAATGTTTCTCTGAGAAATCTGTGATTTTGGGACCTTGTGTCACTTCTATTAAATTCATTCAGAACCTGGCAAAATGCTAGACTGTTGGATGGTTCTGCAGAGATTTTACAAGTGCCCATGCCTCACGCAGAGAGCTCCAATGTACTAAGATCGTTAATAAGCGTCTAAATTAATCATAGGGAAAGATATTCCAATAAGTATGTAGCTCAGGAAGACTGAGAGCCACTCATGAAGAAGCGGTGGCTGGTTCTGTTCTGCGCTTAGCTGAACAGTAGTTGGTAGTTTTATCACCTACGTTTTGGCGACAGGGTTATGCTAGAGTGGTGACGTGGACTAAATTTATCAGTAGGCAAGAACTTCTCGGATGATTGGTCAGTTCTATTTGTCTGCTATTATAAAAGAAATTGAAGCAGTGATACACTTTTTTTACTCCGGATTTTAATGAATTTATTAATTTCTGATTCGATGTTTTTCCTCAATAAGCAGACACGAAGAAAAACATCGAATTGTCAATCAATGCCGAGGATAAAAGAAAGTCGGTCATGGAAATTATTAATTTCTCTTTAAAACTTACGCATTTACGTCTTATAAATGCCAGGTTACTTCATAACTGTGTGATACCTTACTAACATGACATTTAGTGAGTTGTGTAAACATGAGAGTGTTAACACGTTGCATTCTGATGAAGAACATCGGCAAAAGAATTGTGATGAAGAAGAAGCAGACGGAGGAAAATGCCGACAACAGCACGGTCGCAAACCGTTCCGAAACCATTTCTGCAATACCAAAGTTGTCGGGTATAAATTCGATGATAAAAACAATGAAGTACCAAAATTAGTTAAAAGAGAGACCACAAGGCGATAATAGAGGCATAAGAACATCTAAAAGTCTCAAAGGTAGATCACGTATGAATGAACCACGTTAATTCGTGTCTTTTTATTTTATTCTATTCAACCCGCCTTCACGTGTACCGTGCGGATCCCAGCACTTCTCACATACAATTCGTTTCCTGGCATCCATCGTACACGAAGGTCTTCTAAGGTTTTACGTGTCTCTTCGGTTGCTGCTTGAGGATTTTCATTTCGTTTTGAATGTCGTAGAATGCTGGCCGAGCAATTCACCCTGGGATCCTGAGATAGCCGGGCTGGAGCGCTTCCAGTTCGACTGCAGAGAGTGATTTTTTTTCCAGAGAAGCTCGATACCACTTTCGGAGGCATGAGAGGCTTGGTTGGCCCGGAGCGGGATCGAACTAGCACCATGCCTGTGATGATGGACATCAGTACCACTGTGCTATCCCATACTCGTGTCTTTTAAGCTGCATCACGTAATAAGACTTTTGCAACTAATTAACACTATCCAATACGACAACGAAGAACCAGGTCGCGAGGACGGGCGGCTGTGAACAATGAACTCTGACCAATCTGCTGTGAAGAAGGTGAAGACGTTGAAACGCTAGGAGAATAAAAACTTCATAACAACCTCGTATACGCTGAACAACCTTAAAAGACATTCAAAAGATATTCACGCCGAGGTTAAATGATGGCCAGTTTTGAGAAGTAATCAACACCCTTTAAAAACTCTCATGTCGGTGCTCTAAAAATTCCACTTCCTACACAATAATCTTGCCCACCGAGAGATCCCTCGCATAGCAGACAATGTGGCCAGCCTCTAGATAAGGGATTAAGGTGAGCTAAAAAGGACCTTCTGTATCTCTGGGATAAGTGAATTCAAGCAATGGACCGTCTGCTTTTCGAATGAGGGTATGACACAGACATTCCACATTTATGCAGAAATGTTCATTAAGAGTGCATGGGTACGATCGCGAATGTGCAGACTGCATTCTGTAAGCCAGTCCTCCTAGCAAATGATTAGGAGGTACGTTCACCGTGTCTACCCTGTGAGATGTGACAAGGTAGACGTGAGTATCAATCTACAAAGGGTAAAAAAATTAGAGGAGCTTCGTTCCTATTACCAAGTTACCTACACTGCAGCACTTGTGAAACGAATACGAGAGAAGCGGCTAGAATCTCATCTAGAAGGACCAGGGAGCCGACCTCTGCTTGTAAACTCACACTAGCATCTGAATGCTTCATTGAGAACCTGATGATACACCTAAGCAAAAAAAGCGTTGGGTGCTGCAAAAGCGACAGTACAGGAATCAGGTGTCGTCTCCGTCAACATCAACATCAGCAACAGGACCTCTGAAGAATTTCCCATTGAGACCCACTGTTTAGAACGAATGAACAGCATATCACAGGAAATTAAGGGTTTTGTCAAATCGATGTCACTGTTTCCTCAAAACTGTACCGTTTCGGTTTTAGTGAAGCGTTTCGTTTGTTATTCTAAATGATTTTTCTTGTATACGAGTTCTTTATTATTCTTTATAGTACCGAATTATGCTGGCAGGCGACAAATTGTATTTCGTTTCAAGTCATTTCCTCATTCAGAGTAACAATGAAAGAGTGACAATGAAGATTAGAAGTACCCTGCATTCAGATCAGAGAAGTACAAGGAAAGTGAATCTGCAGACAGCGAAAACGGTTTTGAAGACGGTTTCTTAGAATATTTTGCCAGCCTTCGTGTTTAACTAATTGAATTGGATAGCGAACAAAGTTAAGAATGAAGAATGATCCAGTGGTTAGTGACGTAGACCGTCAGAAGGCGAAGTGCTTGTTTGACACCCTCCACGACCTTTCCTCCATTCCACGTGAGAACGCCTTAGGTCGTCTATGTCCATTATTGTAAGGACAATCGACTCGACCACTGCTTTGCGGTATTCATAAGAGAACGAAATCCTCAATCGAAGCAACAAGCGAAAGGTTCGAAGACCACTGTGGATGATGATTGCGAGAATAACGAATCGAATGAAGGAAATGCTGAGATCATTACAGCGTATTTGATGACGGATCATTCAAAATGAAAAAAAGACATAAACCTGTCCAATAGTAATGACTATAATAATAATGAGAAAGAAAAGAAGAAAAAGAACAAAAATAAAGTGGGAGTGCGCTAGATACAGAGAAACAACGAATGCGATGAGGCTCTTTAAGTTAATAGTTGTTTTGCCACTAGGAAAAAAGAACGACGGCAATCAATCAATTCGATCAATATTCTTCGTGTGTTGATGAAAACGTTCAGCGGATAAATCTCACCGAAAAAAAAACTGAATAATTGTTAATGAACACAGGTTCAGGAAACTGAAATTGGAAAAAGAAGGACCATTGGAAGATGCACATCTCGGTAAAGGTAAACTGGCTATGAGCATTAAACTTACGACGCTGGAAAAATCTAGACAGACTGACGAAGAAATCGATTAAACTGGGTTCTAAACTCATTTCAACACTGCAGATTTACACTAATAAGAGAGGGTTAATCTCACAGTTCGCACTCAACGATTGCGTAATGGTTGTGATCGGAATCTCTCTCCATCCGATGAGATCTGGAAGAAGGACAATCAAGCCACGGTCGACCTTGGCACGGTAATGACCGATTGAAATCCTTGCGAACACCATCATTATTAATCCCGTAATAAAGTGTTTCTTAACAGTAACAGAATCTAAAAGAAAAACCTAAACTCTTATAGAACAAGCAAGTTTCGTGAACAGCGCATTTCTTTGCTTTATTTCGAAGCTGGTCCTGTTTTCTTCTAGTTTTGTTGAGCCGCTTATGCTTTGATGGTAAAAAGGATAAGAGGATAAAGCTCTCGGCGTTGATCAATCCGTAGGGCATGCGCCATGCACTCGACTTCATTAAGCATTGTTTGGAGGTGACTGAATGCATATTTGGCCTTTACAATAACTTGCGGTGGCCTACCGATGTATCGAACCAGTGCTGCTATTCTCCCAGACAAGTCTGGTACCGATTTGCCGACCCTGGAGGGATGGAAGGCCTTGGTGGGCCATGGGCGCTGGGATTGATTCCACGTGTGTGTTGCAGGACGCCTACGGCAGCTGGGCCACACGCCCCCCCCCCCCCCCCCCCCCCCCCCCCCCTCTTCCTATGTTTTAATGGTGCAAGGAAAGAACGTCAAGGTCGATATAAAAATCTAAATCTTTTGTAGAAAACAGAAGGAAACAAGTAATATGAGACGATTGAATAAAATGTTTGTCAGCATTATGGGAACTGCTGCTACAGCAAGCAATGTTATAACCATTATAATTAATATAGCGTAATCAACGTCGTCAAGTGGTCACGCAGGTTCTACGCAAATCCAGCTAGGAGTATCGTTAGCTAAATCTTGCCATTACTGCAGTTGAATGCTGTGTTTATCCCAAAACCGATTTTTTAGCTTCAGCCTAATCAATATGTATTCATTCATTGATAAGCTAACAGGAGGTTGGTTTCAAACTTTATTCGGTCAACGTTTCAAAGTCTTCGATTTCCTCAGAGCCGGATTGATCTGAGTCGATGGTGCATTGTCATTCGCTCTCTGTCCCCCAGTTCTTCGGCCGTCCTCGAAGCGTTGGCCCAATAAACATTTTTATCCACCTTTTGTTAATTTGTCAATGAAAGAATACATATTGATTAGGCATGCAGAGGTTAAAGATGAGTCAGTTTTTGGAGTATTCACTCTGCTAACTGAAATAACACCAACTGCTGCAGGTTGGAATGCCTAGTGAAGAAAAAATTTGCTAACGGGCCATCAGTGTCATCAAAAACCGCTCTGTATAAAAGAGCATCGCGCAAATTGGAGGGTTGGCAATAGGACAGCGACTGGCACCAACTCTTGCCGTTGCCTTTATTTCTAAAGTGAAAGCACCAGTAATCGATCTCAGGCCATTACTCTACTGTAGGTATATAGATGATTGTTTTGTCATTTGCTCCACACAAGAGGAGATGGACAAATACTTTGAGTTATTAAACGAACAGTCGGAGTATACAAGTTCATTCGTGAGAAACCGAAAGAAAACTGGTTTTCATTTCTAAACGCTCAAATTAACCTATCCGAAAACGGCTACGTCACAAAGTGGTATCGGAGGCCAAGTAATAAGAATATAGTGGTTCATCACCTCCCCTCTCAGTCCTCACACACCAAAAGGGTCCTTATAAGAAATATGCTTCCAACCCCCACTAGCGTGTGCGCAGGTGGAGAGCAGCAGGAAGAATCCTCGAAACTGGC